AAAACCATAGTAAAGAAGAGTTAATGATGCACACATTGAGTTTGTGCAAAAATAAGGATTTGCACCGAGGCTGTTTTCCAAATCCTGATTTTAATCAAGGTGATTTATCTGCAGTTAAGGGTCATTCTTAACACCATGTTATCAACACTGTTACTACTGAGCTGTGCTCGTTACAAAAGAACTTTATTGAAATTAATGTTTTGTAGCAACAGACTTTTCTGTTCAGATTTTCAGTATTTTTTTTGCTATAAATTTTGTATACAGGTTTAATTTAGTCTCACAAAAAAACTAAATTGGACCCCTGTATGAGTCTGTATAGTTTTCCAAGGTGTCAACATACCACATGTACTGTTCACTTTAGGCTACAACCAAAGAAAAAGCATTACAGCTGGGGTTTGTGTAAATGGTGTTCCCATACTGCTTCAACCCCAGGTATTCATGTCCTAGATTTTAAATACAGTGAAATGGCAGTATTCTTATGGTCCATAGTGAGGCGGTTAGCACACCTGCCTTACAAACGGAGAGTCCTGGGTTTGATTACATACAGTGGGGCTTCAAGATACGAGCTACCAGAAATCCGAGTATTCCTTGTTACGAGTAAGCAACTTTTGCAAGATTTTCCTTGTGATACGAGGAAACATTGAGTTACTGTTGCGCTCACTGTCCCTCGCTTCGTTATTTTACCCATCGCTCTCGTTCCCTTTCTCATGTTATTTTCTTAATTATTATTATTTCTATTATCATTATATTTGTTTATATCTATGTTTTTGATTTATAGATGGGGGATTTTTAATTTAAGTAATAGTATATTTCTGGGGGGGGCTGGAACAAATTAATTGGTTTTTAGTTATTTTTAATGGGGAAAATTCGATCGAGGTACGAGCGGATCAACGTCAGAGTGCTGTTGTGGAACGGATTAAACTCGTATCTTGAAGCTCCACTGCACTTGGCGCCTCCAAGGGGTTGGCCTGTTGCAGCAGATCTGCTGTTAACACAACAATTTCTCCAATGTGGGATCAATAAAGTTGATATAAAAAATATTAAAAATGAACACTCATAAAATTGCTTCTCTGACAAAATGGTGTAAATTGGGTTTCTATTTTCAGTAAATTATAGGTAATGCGGGACAACTAGAGATTTTGTATAACTGACAGTTAGCACAGTCTTGGTGGAGTCTGTCTAAAGATGCTATTTGACGAGAAACTGTCTATTTGATCAACAGATTTATTTGGTCATGTTGTTTTTCACCAGTGCTGTGAGAGTGGAACACGCACCTGAACAAAATCTTAAGACTGGAAAAAATAACAAGTATTCACTGTTCATGCTGGTGGATTGTAACCCGGAGTGAAAAACAAAGAATAGAGTAGGGAATTAATTGAAAACTGTATTTATTTGCCTTTCAGATCTCACTTATGCCCCTAATAATTATGCCGAGTTCACAGACAGAAAGCATCTTCAAGCGTCCATGAAAGTGTAAATACCTGAGAAAAATGACATGAAACCTTTTCAGGCTGTAGTCTTCATCAGACGGTAACAAACCTGTATGCGTTTTGTTTTCAATTAATTAATTACTCTATTTTTGTTTGTTTCTTGCTCATGTCCATTTTTGTATTTTAAAGCTCCACTAACAACCCGGTTACGACCCCGCAGTGCAAAATGTGAATACATATTTTACTTATTTTTTCAAAATCTTAAGATTTGTACTTATAAACAAGCTGTTTTTGTTACCTCACTACGTATGTGTCTGTTTGTGTGTGTGGTTGGGTGTTAAAATCGTGCCTTATGCCGTGCAAGGATACTCATGTACTGTTTGCATGAAAGCATATCCGTTTTAAACACGTTTAAAATAATGTTTTTGTGGTAGTGAATCCACCAACATATCTATGAGCAATAAGTATGTTGGGAGATTCACCATACGTGTACAGAGGCTATCAGCAGGCAGCCCCATCAACTACCAAAGTAAAGATGCCAATGCGGCCTGTGTAATGTTTTGTCAATAAAATGGAAATAGAGTAACACTTCTATGTATCAACAATGTCTTCTTTCACTTACCTGGGCCACATTCTGTACAGGTATATTCCTCCATGGTAGACTGTATCCATGATTAACTCCAGATTGAACTCTAAAAAAATAAAATGGTAGAAGACAAATTAATGAAATATTTTTACATTTTATTTCTTTTCCACATTTTATTTATAACATGTTTTAATTTAAAACTACGCTGTATAACAATGGACACAAGATGGCTGGTGAATCAGTCCTAATTTGGACTGCCGAACATTTTTGTATGTTATCTTTAACCTGCCACTGGGTGGCAGACTTTTTCCAAAATTAGTAGGGAACATCAGGCAAGTCTTTCTGGACTAGGACACCGGTCTGAGGTACATGCAGCTCTACATTCACTTTGAGTTGCCTCCATGAGAAATTACATTTTATGGTTGTTAAGGGCTCAAGTTTATCCCATTTTTGCAGACAACATTTTTACGCCTCAAACCACATTTTGAGCTTTTTTTTCTGAAACAACAACTTGGTGTTACTGTCTTTAACCTAATATCAAGAGGTATCATTTCGGCCTGCATGTAGAAATTTAAACATGAGGTTATTTCGTGGTAAAACATAAATAAATTGCTTTTTATGTTAAATTATATACAAATAAGTAACTGGGCGTATTGTGCATAGACGTCCTTGCAACTATTAAAGTGTAAAAGTGTGTGAGAGAGTCACAAAGCAACGTGGGAGGGGCTAGAGAACACACGAACCCGCGGAATCAGGAAGTGATGTGTGCGCGCGCACACGCGACCGGACAGTGGAGTATTTTTGTTGTAAAGTCGGACTAAACCCTGCAGAGGCCGGATGACAGCTAGTGGCTGAACGCTGAACTCGCGTTCGTCCATGGTTGTGTTTCCTGGAATTTAGAAAGTATTATCTGTCTAGAAATGGGTCCCGGCTAAACCAAGGAATATTCTGGAAAACCGTGGACGACGGGGTTTCGAGCGCAGAACAGGAAGGGAGCACAGCAGCGGCGGCCCGTGGCCGCGTAGAACAGCTTAGTAGCAGCCGGTAGTAGCCGTGAGGAGTCGGCCGGGCATTGTGTGTCAGGAGCGGAAACTGTGACTGCACCGAGGCACCGTAAGCCCCTATTCAATGTCATTTTAAATTTTAGTCTTTAAATATACCTAAGTGTCCACTTTAATGTTCTGTCAGAGTTTTGGGTGAAAAAGACACCGTTGTCAAAGCCGTTTTGGTGTAGGCTAACGTTAGCAATTGTGTGGCTAATGTCATTAGAGACCGAGGAAGCGCTTGGTTTACTCGCCTAGTAAGCCCTCTTTGGTTTCATTGATATGCTGTCCGTGCACCTAATAAATGATTTATCGGTGTATCTTTAAGTTTTTTTTTTCGCTAAAGCTAAAACAAAGCTTACACGTTTTTGTTGGATCCACTTATTGTATAGTTAAAGAATATTGCTCTTAAAAGCATTTTTTCTCTCCAGACAGCAACTGTTTACATTTACAATGCCATAGTACCCTCTAAGCACGTGTGTCTAAAAACAAACACTCTTCTGCGGTCGGTGTAAGCTAACTTACTTATTACATAGGAAGAACCCGGGGCACTGGGACACTCTCTTGTTTAGTAAACTATCTTATTCAATAAGTGATAGCTGCGCCCAATTATATTTGTCTTACTAATTGAGGTCTAAATAAACTGGTCGAATTCACTGTTTTCTTTTTGGCTGTCCACAGTAGCTAATGTGTAGTTGCTATGCTGTGCTAAGGATGCTAATTATTCCACTAACGAGGTCAATACATTGAACAAAAGACGAGTCTTGTTTATGTTGCATTCTTGGATACACATGCTGACACGACCATTGCCATTAATTATTTAAAAAAAACAGGTGGAAAGCACACAGGTATATGCATACAATTAAGATCAGTTTGTCTCGATTGATGAAACGTTTCTTCAAAGCAATGCACAAAGAGTCCGGGTTAACTGTGGAATGCGCTGAGATAATTGTCTTGATTTCCAAGAATATAGGAAATTGATGTAGCTATCGGGTTGCAGGCTGCGATTGCAAAAGTAAGTGTTGGAAACACTAGAATTGCTGGGATGGCCTAAAATATTCACAAGTGAAAGTGAAAATGCAAAGGCTTCACCTTGAGGTGAAGGTGAGTTTATTTTTATAGGTGGTATCTACTATTCCGTTGTTGATGTTGCAAAGAGGATTCAGATTAGTGTCAGGTATTGATGTTTCACAGAAGGATTCAACAAGAGTTAAAGGAAACGTTCACAATATTGTTGTGCCTCGTCTTAAAGACAGAAGACAAACTTGAAATGAAAACGTTTAAGATGCTGTACATTTTAACACAAAGGGAACAGAAGGGGCAATATTAGAAATTGGATGATCAGAGATACACCTAGGCAGCAGCTAAAAGTAGTGGTGGCTTAATGGTTAAAGATGCGGACTTGGGTCCGGAAGGCTTCAGGTTTGAGGCTGCCAAGTTGCTACTGATACTGGTGCTCTCAGCATGGCACCCCATACACTTCTCCCCCGGGTGCTTAAAGCTGCCCCCTGCTCACTATGGTGATGGGTTAAAAGCAGAGGTCACAAATAACTCACTTTCACGATTCACTATTTTATATAAAGGGAAACAATACCAGGTTTAGATAGAGGCAGGTGATCTGCTGAAGTGTTGCTTCAGCATTTAGTTGAATGTAGAAAATGCTCTAGGTAAATTGATTGAGATTACGTTATGTATGAGCCAGAATTACGTCTGGGTGATCCCCACAGAGGCCTGTGTGAGGTAAAACACTGGGGCTTCAATTATCATCATATTAAGTTATTAGAAGATATCTAAGTATTGGCATAATGTAAGATGATTATATCAAAAAGGATATATTCACATTAATGGGATGAAAAGATATTTTGCTTTTGTGGGTAAACAAATTATGGAATTATTTTTTTCACAATGATGAAAGTAGGCTTTTAACTAGAACATTCCATGCACATCTTTGGACTGTGCTCAACATTCATAGCTATTCATTATTTTTATGGTCTTTTTTAAAACCATGTTTGTAGTTGGTACTTTAAATACTTACAGCAGGCTTAGCTTGTTTATGTTGGTTGGAGCATTCTTGGTGGATTTTCTCATAATTGGGTAAATTGGTCTACATGAATCTATTGTGCATGGTGATAAAATAATAAAATGTGAAAAATCACAAGATATAAAGATAAAAGGAAAGTGTCACACAAAGGCAATACACGGAACACAAGAATAAGATCATACAAAGGTGGTCTCTAAAATGGTTTTGAATAGTTGAAATAACAATTTGCTGTTAATGTGGAATAAACACAGGGCTGTCTGAATGTGAAATAAATAAATGTGGACTATTTTATTCAAATCATGGAAACCTTAAATGCAAAAGTCACATGACATGCTTATGCTTTCCGTGTATGTCATTTAAAAACAAGACCTACAGAAGTGACTATTCCATTCCTCTGGAATCTAAGAAACCTGATTTTTTGTTTGTTTTTTTTTAATTCCTTTAGGATTCCTCACTTGCCCTACTGATTCTGTTCTGGGAGAGATCAGACCAGTATTGTCGCCAAGATAGCTGGGCCAGGCAGGAAGAGGCACACCTCAAATCCAGACCCCAGCAGTGATAGTGATTCCAGCGACGGGCGGCCTTTTAGTGCCAAGTGCCTAAAGATGGCCAGCAGTGGTGGTACGGATATGTCTACCAACGATACAGTGGGCCGTCGTGGTGGAGCTCAGCAGAAAGGTGGAAGTGGGAGGGAGAGGAGCTCGGACTTGTCCTCCAGCACCAGTAAGAAGAAGCAGAAGGACAGAGCCAACCAGGAAAGCAGAGAGGCCAAAAGGGCTGCGGCTGCAGACGGGATCATTGCAGAAGTCAAGAAAGGTAAGAAAAACAGAACTGTAATGTGCTCGTGTTATTTTAATATTTGTGAGTTTATTTTTGCTGAGTCCTAACAAATATGGAACATACATATCTCAACAACACTTGTGTGTTTACTGTGACATACTGTATGAACATTCTCTACTTTTCAGTGTCTTTAAACACTTGCCAGTGTTGGTAAATTCAGAAGTAGTTTTGCATGTTTACTAATTGGTTAGTTATCTAGGTCCATAGTCCATATTTATCCACAAACCAAAGATAATATTTAGGTATTACAAAGGAACAAATCAATTTAATTTTATTACCATTTCAGATACTAAAAAAACAATTATTCTTCTACTTTTTATAAAAGTTGAAGGTATAGCTTTTATATTTTCAGAATTGTGGTGACTTTAAGGTAATCTTGAAAAATGCTTCATTGCACTTATTTTCATTTCAGTATTTCTTGCTTTCAGACCAAAATAGTCAAAATAGTGAGTGCAATACATTTAATGTATATCACCAAAAACATTTTTGGGCACAGATATTTTTAGATGTCCTGACTGCTGAGGTCACTATTCTGCTCTGTTTGCTCTACTCTATACTCCAGTGCTCTGAGCTGACCCACTTGAGCCCATGCAGCATGCATTTGTATGGCTCGTGTGAATGCCCAAAGAGCAGGTGCAGTCCAGTATGTCAGTCCTAGATCTCTCATGGTAGCACAGATACAGTACTAGTCTAATTCATAAATTGCATTTTCATCTGTTTTAATTCACTGAAATTATAAGTTATTGTTGATGAGATGAAATACTTGATTTGGAAGACTTTAGGTCCAACTTTTACGAACTGCACTTTTGAAAGCCTTTTAAAAATATGTATGTATTATATTCGTACATTATTAAACCTATTAAAGTAGTCCCTGAGTTTTATTTGAGAGCCACCGTTTGCTGCAGGGTTGGACTTGGGACACTCCTGCTCCAGCGTCA